TCATGAGGGCATTTACCTGTAACACTTCACTCTCTTCAAAACTGTGACTGCTCGGTCGTCCTTCGAGGGTTGAAAATGCAATATTTCCACCTGTTAGTGGCGAAATATCCGAGAATTCTCGTGTGCACTGAGCTACTGCCTCATTGCCCGGAAGGATTGGCGCCTTGTCCGGTAAACCGTACGTGGAACGACATGAACCACTGAAATGAAAAGTCACCTTTCATTCACAAGTATGAGATTTCGTTAGATGGTCACAATCTTCAACATAATTTTTAGCAGCAAAAAGCTGAACGTAAATGGATTTATACCAAAATGTGTTTGTGAGAATCGTCAGCACTCAAATGAATTTGATATTATTTAAAAGTTGCCGCAGTACTACAATCGAAACTGACTCTAATGATGCAATGGTCTCCAAATGAGACAAAACTCTGAATAGGAATATGAGAAATTTATCAAAAGTGATACCTGTAATACTGCCATGGTATCCATTCCTCATCGGTATGTTCTTTCTTATAGATGGCAAAACTCTCCGGTCGTGGACTAATAAACTTCAGACGAACATAAGTGATATCGAATGTTTTGCCAAGGCGTAACGTTAAATTCACAGAATTTGGATATTGCATTCCCTCGTTCATTGTTTCAGACTGCCACCATGTCTCGTTATTTGCATTATTGAAATCGGTTAGAAACGATGGTGGATGAGCGTAGGCCTAGAATTATTCCATTTTATAACATCTTTTCAAGGATCATTCCAGTTGATTTCTGTTATGAGGAAACTTGCATCTGAATGCATCTGAACTGAACTGTTAGACATCAAAACCAATGGTTTTCAATCTTCTATCAACTAATCCAATCGATCGCTCATTGATGCGATTGGTAGATCATGTAGCTGAATCTCCTCCGTTCTCAGATGCAGCAATATTTCACAGTATCCCCATGGAACAGTGGGAAACCTCACACTAATTTTGAATTGTCTTACCGAAATCGCACTCTCTGCAGGCTTTTTTCACTCAATAGACGAAGATATTGCAAGCAATGGNAGACAAACACTCAGATATTATTCTCAACCATAATAGTCGAACAAGCGATTTTGCTGCTCTTTGACTATTCATAATGAGTTTGATGAGTTTATCGAAGTGAGTAATTGAACGAAATTGCGTCTGAGAAGAATAGCAAAAGTTTTTATCTCAATTCAGATTTTCACTGATTGAGAACAACCGAATTTGAAATTATAGAAGTGAAAATAAGAACTTACAGGCACTCGACTATCGCAAATATCACAAACTTTGCGTATACCACTATGTCCTGACTGAACACAAAAACTGAAAAATTTTGAAAAGTGTAATCGAATTTGTACCATATTATTCATCTAGACTCATTAAATGTTACGTCTTCATTTCGTTTCACAATTCTACGGGAACTTGACCGAACATACAACACGTACTCATTATCGTAATTAATAAAAGCATTCGACTGGAGAGATCAATGTAACAAGCTCTTCATACTCATTATTATTATGATCAAAAATTTTAGTGTCAGTGATCAAGATTTCGCTAACTTAATACGATAATGTTTCAGCAAATTAGTACAAGGATTATATGTTCTGAAAACCGTAATGAAGGAACTTGGGTGCTTTGGAAACATTTCTTCTTAATACTGCACGTAGTCACTAGCAAAGTATAAAAACGAATCGGTATTTCAGGATTAAAATAACTGAAAGGATGAGTGACCTTGTAGGTCCGTAAACACCACAAGTATTCGTCACTTCAACTGGCAAATTAAAGGCTGCGTTAATGAAGTCTGGCACACATCGCTGTGGTAAGCCCATGTCATCATAACAAGGATTATTTCCTAGAAAAGCAATTCACATGAATATTCGTAACATTTAGTGTCCATATCATTAGATCACTATCAATATTACTATTATTATTATGATCATTACTATATGATCATTATCCCAGTTTTATAATTGCGTAGCATTGGCCTGGCAGGAGTACTACTTTTAACACTGTTTCGTGCAAAAGAACCTCCACAATGTTATGAGGTATTACAGTTTGTCCAAGAGCAATTTCACAATGCATGATTATGAAATATTCTTTGTCCCTCTTCAAAGACGGAGGACTTCTCATGTAATATTTGTTGCAGTAACGTTTGAGGATGCTATTGATGAAATAGTTTCAACAACAAGCGTTACAAGTGATGTCTATCATGCATGCATATGCATTCTTGTTCTTGTAACAGTATTTTATCTCGTTATGCTTGAGTTCATACCAATTGCCTTCTAATGCATTCGAAATTCAAAAATTAATCAAAAAATGCGCGAATATTTTGTGTGAAACCATGCGAAACGATATTATTTTACAATTGCAGACACATGATCCAAAGAACACATCTCTGATTTCATGATGCACCCCTATGCGCATCATGAAATTATTTCACAATCCATGATGCATCATCGTTCGTTCATAATACCAGCAAGAGGGAGCAGATCATAGTTCCGTAGTTCACGCTAGTATTTGAGGGAAGTTGATAAACTAAGAATGAAGTAAAGTGAAAGATGGACTGGACTATGGACTGGTTCTTGCCTGGAATGTAATGATTTGGATCAACAGAAGGCGTTTGTTGCGCAGGTTGTGCATTGGTTGAGGAGTGATGCTGCGATAGGGAGAATAATGCTGTTGAGATGAGCAATAATCGATTCGAGAATAATAAAGAACTTATTAAACTGCTAAAATGTGTCATCGTTATTGGTGTCGTCGTCGTCCTGCACGGATGATTCCGAAACCTCAAAAGAAACATTATGAAACATTCATTCATTAGTCAACTCCAATTTTTGATCCATGACTTCGCATTGATCACTGTTTGATTATGACTGAGAAAATTACTGTATGGAAAGTGAACCGAACAAACGATCTAGCATAAGCGAGTAGTCGTGAAAATCATCGTTTCGAAGTTTCAAAACAATTCCTTCAGTTTAGTCGCTTTGATTTGCTTGTGAGGGATTGTAGACTCATTGAGGACTGACTGTCTCATCCTATTAAGTTGATTGCGAGAATATGGTTATGAGTTGAGTTGAACATTTGGATTCAATTGGGTGCAGATGAAGTATGATTAAGCAACGAACCTGTTTGTCTGAGACATTTTAGGGTAGGTGAATAGAGTCTGGCGGTACACGCCAATATCAGTAGGTGACGTGAAAAATTGACGAAAATACTGGTAGTAGCACACACACACAGTCGACGAGGGTGATTTAGATGGATGACTTCAGATTCAAAAAAATGCAACCAACTTCGATCCACGATAAAACCACAAACACCACTGAAATTCCACCCTGCGTCCGTGTAGTGCTGGTAGGTAAGAGGATTGCTTTTCAAGGACCGACCAAATGAAGTCGTCGTTTAATGCATTGACAAAACTATCAACGATTCGCAATCGGTCCTCTTCGAAAGTACCAACCAAAACTGAAAAACAATTCCAATAAATAGCGGCGTTTCAATCGCGAATCGTGAAACGAACTCGCCTCCATTTTCGTAACAATTAAAATTTCCCTTGAACACGTCTCTAATGGAATCTGTCACATGATGAAAAGATAACGGACGGTTACGTATAGAACAGAGGATCGTAATCTCATATGAGGCAAATCATTGCCC